CAATATTCACCCACTCACAGTGTTGTTATATTGTACCCTGTAATAAATACATTGGGAGCTCGATGCAACCTAATATAGCTTAAAAACTAGTATTTTTGTGCAGTTGAAAACATTTCATGACATATGTTGCATGCCCATACACATCATGTGAAAGTAATTTTCTTTTCCGACCTAAAGGTTGAAAGTAATTAAACAATAATCACAGGATATTATTAGCTGTCAATCAATTATTTTGTCTGCTAATGAGTCATTCCAGCATACTAATGTCTATCTGAATATTAATAGGGATATTAACATTAGGTTTCAAATTAACAAATGCTGCACACAACACAAACATGACTTTTTTACACAGTGATGTTATCTGTAAGGTTCTGGGCCTTGTTCTTGTTCTTGTTCAAAGCAATCTTAGCACTAGGATGATCGTAAGCCTATGTTAAAGTATAGGACTTACGATCACATTAGCGCTAAGATCGCTTTGTGCAAGTGGGCCCTGGTCATGTATTAGGTATCAATTAGGAATGACAATTTCTGTCCATCCAGTGGTGGCAAGAATTTGTTGCCATGAATCAGGTCTCCTTGATAGGTATGTCATGCTGTAAACATAATAGAATATACCCAAACTATCGTGTTCCAATTGGCCATGATATTTGAGAGGGGTATTCATCGTATATTGCCTCACATTGTCTACTGGCCTGATTGTCATCGTCCTCTATTCCATTCCAGCGAGCAAGGGGGCACGGGTGGCCCTGTCGTCTAAGGCGCCGCGATTCGCTGTGCAGAGTTGCATCCCCTAGGCACGCTTGAAACCTATGATTGTGGGTTCAAATCCCGGTTCTCCCCGATTGTGTTTCTAGGTTTGTCAACGCCATACCCATGCTCGTGTGTTTCACCGAAGTGGTAAACGTCTGAGACCTGCATCACTTGGGGCTTTCCTCCCACATTAAGCTGACATGCCGCGATATAACTGTAATACTGTTAAAAGCGGCGTTAAACCCAACTCACTCACTCACTCACTCCAGCGAGCAATGTGAATACTGTAAATGAAAAAATAATTTGATGTTCATGTGAGTCAATGTATTAGTAGCATAGTACGCTATATTATCGTGGTAGTTAATGTATAATGGATCATAATCATGATAATGGCGGAAAAAAATGAACTTACTAACCTATTAAATATGTCATACTCAAAATGTTTCTTGTTCCTTGTTCAACTTTTATGAGGCATCAGTTAGGAGTGAGCGATGCTGATTTTCTTTGTGAATGGGTGGTCCAGTCATATAAGATGTTGCAATTCCCTGTGCGGAGTTGTGTCCCTTGCGCTCGCCAGGAAGCTATGATCATGGGTTTTAATCCTGGTTCACCCTGATTATGTTTCTAAGTTTGTCAGCACCATACCCGTGCTTGTGGCTTTCACTAACGTGGTTAACGTCTAAGACCTGAATCACTTTGGGCTTTCCTCCCACAAAACCACAAGACAGCATTGCTGGGCAGGCAACAATAGGCAGCTGAGTTATTGTGTTCTCATATAGCCTCCTGATAACCAGTTTGATTCATTAAGCCTTAGACACGAGTCAGGAACAGATCTGTCCTATACCCACAATAAACAAGTGAAAGAACCCCCCGATTCTTTCATGTTTCTATAGTTAAATATGTAATATGAAAAAATTGTGTGTTCTTTAACTTCATTTGAGTACCAAGTTTTTGAAAGCATTTAGAAGTGATACACATAAGGAAGAGAATTTATGGATGTCAACTTCTTTATTATGAGGAACAACATTTCAGAGTATGCTTACTCCTTTATCAGGTGAAGGATTGTTTGTTTGTTTGTTTGTTGTTTAACGCCGCACTCAGCAATATTCCAGCTATATGACGGCGGTCTGCAAAATAATCGAGTCTGGACCAGACAATCCAGTGATTGACATCATGAGCAACGATCCACGCAATTGGGATCAATGACATGTATCAACAAGCCAGCAAGACTGACCACCCGATCCCGTTAGTCGCCTTTTACGACAAGCATAGTCGCCTTTTACGGCAAGTATGGGCTTCAGAAGACCTATTCTACCCCGGAATCTTCATGGGTCTCAGGTGAAGGAAGCGAAAACGTGGTGTTCTCTTCCTTTGTTTGAGTATTATTATTATACATGAGATATTTACAACATACTGACAGACAATTAAAAATGAAAATAGTTACTGAAAGCATATGGCATGTATATGAAAGACACTGACAGACGATAAACTTATCTACTGAATTAAAAACTTGTGTGCGCTTTGTGTAAGTCCACTACTCATGAAACTTGATTATTCATAGTCTCAAATAACTAAAATATTGCTATGTGTTAAACAAACAAATAAACAAACAGCAATAACACTTGTCTGACTGAGACGATGTACATGTTGGTCGTCAGTGTCGGATATATAGATGGCCAAATGTTGCCAGGAAGTAATTACGTAATGTTCAATAAATTTGAACTTGGGACATTATCATATATCATATATCATACATCATTTAATAAATCGTGTTTGAACATGTAACTGTCCCAGGTGTGCATGACTGCTTGGATTAAAATGGGATTACAGGTTTCATTTGGTGTGTGTTGTTCAACATTCTCGAATTAGGAGATAAACCCTTCACTCACTTAGTTTTATATGTAACATTTAGCAGTGTTTTATCAATGATCAACCACCTCAAAAATTAAAACAGAACAGGTTTATATCCTTTTTACCATGACTAGAACAGACTCTTTTTCTTGCATGCATTCCACATTTCCTCCCGGGCCATTAGACCCGTGAAGATGCAGGGTCTTCAGCAACCCATGCTTGTTGTAAAAGGCGAGTATGCTTGTAAGAGGTGACTAACGGGATCGGGTGGTCAGGCTCGCTGACATGGTTGAAGCATGTCATCAATCCCAATTGCGTGTATCGATGCTTATGATATCAATCACTGGATTGTCTGGTCCAGACGTGATTATTTACAGACCGCCGACATATAGCTGGAATATTGCTGAGTGTGGCATAAAACAATAAACCAAACCAAACCAAACCTGGGCCATTATTTCTTTCAGACACTTGTTACCCCTGGCGTTTAATCAAGACCTGATGTTTCTAATTTCATTTTCCAACTAATGGTTCTCTAAAACCCATCTGGGGCAGTAGGGTAGCCTTGTGGTTAAAGCGTTTGCTCATCACGACGAAGACCCGGGTTCGATTCCCGACATGGGTACAATGTGTGAAGCCCATTTCTGGTGTCCCCTGCCGTGATATTGCTGGAATATTGCTAAAAGCGGCTTAAAACCACACTCACTCACTCACTCACTCACTCACTCACTCACTCAGACCCATCTGACCGCCTCCCTGATCTAGTGGTAGGAGTGTCCACCCAGGGGAGTGGAAGGTCCGGTGTTCGATCCCTGGCCGTGTCATACCAAGAGACGTTAAAAGAGTGTACTTGTTGTTACCCTGCCTGCTGCTTGGCCTAAAGGGGCTAAAACACGGACTGGTCGGCAAGTGAGTTTGTACACCCGGGGGAGTGCTAGTTTGAACTAAGTGAGGAGGTGGTGGTAATTTTGATTCAAAATTCTTTTTAATGATTATGAGATTTACAATGATAGGCGGAATGTACTTGAACAAAGGTCTTGTCCCTACTCAACCATTTATGTACATACACGTACATTGTCTCGGATCCGAGTATCAAATAACAGCATTGTTCAATGAGTTTATGCTGCCTGATTGTGCACTAATTTTCAATTACTTTCCAATTATATTTTTAATGGAGAAACCAATTGCAAATCATACATAAAGCTCAAGTGTTTAATTGGCCGTATCACATGTATCGCAGTGCTTTGTCAGCCGGTGCTACACAGTCAGATCTGCAAACTCAGCAACATTCCCAGTTCTGGGTCACTGCAACCTTGTGGAGGTCAGAGGTGAAGGTCAAGGCTGGCCACTACCTGTCAGCTGTAAGGAGGTGATGTGGAAGTGTCAAGGCAGTGGTGATGGGACTCTATCACACCGCTCCTCCACCTGCCCCAACAGACTGCTAGTCACTGATACTGTCATACCTTTAGTCAGGCTACTCTAGCAATACTGGTCTGTCAGTGGTCCACACTCAGCAGGGTTTTAAGATAAGAACTGAAATCATGATATATTTTTTATATTTAACTCGTCAGCATTGCAAATAGGTTTAGATTAACATGAAACTGTGCCTGGGAATGCTTTTAGCTTTCCTCATTCTTTTCAGAAGAGTTATATTTAGGCCTATAGGGGGGGGGGGGGGGGGGGGGGGGCTCTAGTCTCCTCTTCCTTCCTCCTATTTTTGCTACCAATTTATATTTTGTCAACATATTTCACAATGAGAATTTTGTTCAGCCCTGCATCTATGGACAAACATCGACATACATACAATGTATTTGCTGCGAAACGTGAATTTTGAATCTATGGAATATATGCGTATGTTTAGATTTAATAATTGCTTTTTAGTTTTGTCTCTTGACTTGTCTATTGTGAATTTTCTGAATCAGTACCATTGATGACTAGTTCTCATCTCTTCTTTCCCCAATCCGCAACCACACCTCCAACCTGCAACCCCCCATTCCTGAGAAACATACCTACAGGCTTGTTATTGATATTTTATTTATCCCTATTCTGAAGAAACTATCCCCTTGTCAGAACGTATGTATATGTATGAGATGAAAATGCCATATATTGAATATTACCCAACCAGATGCTAACTCATTAATATACGTAGATATGATGTAAAGATAAATGTGTTTGTTTGTTGTTTAACACCGCGCTCATTTCTAGACCTGCTGTGTGACAATGGCCTGTAAATAATCGAGAATGAAACAGACAATCCAAGAGAAGAGAACAAGAGAAATATAGCTCTGGTGTTGATTCTAATGTTTTGGAATTGTTTATTTTTCAGCCCTGAACACCAATTTACATTTTATATTTATTTTTCTATAAATAAGTCATGTCTCAGAATATTTTTACTGTTTCAGATGTGAAGAATGGCTTTAAGATGTCTACCCCAAAGCGTGAATGGGCCTGTTCCACAGAGAGCTCAGAACAAAGGCTGAACTGGATCAGTCTATTGGAGCAGGCAATCAGAGGGGGGTTGGAACACTGATCATATGGTGTTGTGTTGTCAAGTCAAAAGTCAAAGTACAGCTTTAATTTTCAAATATTTTCCATATAAATTGTTATATAACGGCATTAAAGATGGCCGTTGACAGCAAATATTGTATACAATATCCTCTGTCCCATGTGTAATTTCACTAAGGCAGTTTTATTCTACAGGTAATTTTACTTGACATTTAACAGATTTACCATTGCTTGTAGTTTATGCAGGGAAAGTGTCTTAGTACCTCTGCACTACCCTCAATAATGTTAACACAAAGGCAGACATTCCCAAATTTACATTTCCCTGAACGAACCTGCTCACTAAGGGACAACCATTTTATATTCTTGGGGGAGGTGAGGATGGGATTGTTTTGAAAATAATAACCTGTTACCGAAAATTCTGAAAAAAATAATTTGTCTTTATGTTTTTTACAAAAGAAGAATTTCTTCATTTGTACGTAAGGGATGTATTGAAAATTATGATGTAGTTTTCTTACTCCTACTATCAGAGATAACAAATAGTGTGTTGAATTGAAGACATATTCTGTCTCAAACAAGCTGGGAGGATCTAGTTGTCTCCCCTGTGTATATGGAGTGGATTGGAGTCTTCGCTTCAGATTATACTTAGTTGGGAATGTTTATTTGACTTTCGACGTTGAACAGGCCTGGATCTCCATTGACACACAAGTGGTCGCCACATTCTGTCAATTTTTTCAATATGTCTCTTATAAACCGTGCATCGATACTGAATGTGACTGGTGACACATTGAGCAGGTTTGCTATTGAAGGCAACCACTACCCGACTGGCAAGGATATACCAGCAATATATTTTCCATAATATTTTATGATTGGACAAAATTCTCAGATTTAAGATTCCACTATAAATCTACATGTTTACCCATCCAGTTGTGAGTTTATTAATGATAATGAACAATATGTATTTTTTAAGCGTCTGGGAAATGTCAGACTAGGCAGATTATTATAGATGTTTTATTTGTTATAAGACAAATTTGTTAATCAGTTTTATTGTTATTTTTATGATGTACTTGGACAATAATTTTTTATTTGATTGCACTGAATCAAACTTTTATCTTATTTTCAAATGATTGAGCATTTACCAGAGATACTAAGGTAACTGAAGGACCTATTATATACCAAATGATTGATACAGTATTATAACAATGTTTAACCAAGTTGGCAGATTGCTGCTGTTTGAGCTCTGTTTTAGTTATAATGTTTGTCTGCACTCACGTAGTAGCCTCACTTATACGTAATATGTTTGCCAGTATTATTTTCTCTGACAGCTTTTTTCTGTTTGATATGGTCAATAGTACATATGGTGAATCAGTGTTAATTGTATGCGCATATTGCAGTGCGGAAACACAGAAACTTACATATCACAGCAAAAGTACATACCATATTCGACGCAATAAGCGCCCAGGGTGCTCTCAAATTTAGAAATAGGGGGCTCTTATTAGAATATAATTTTGGTGAAATGGTTGAAAGATCGTAAATTTCGTGGTTTATGCTGATAGCCAGAAATGATACAAAAGAAAAGTCTGTGCGTATTATACACGACAGAATTTTTTTTTCAAGAATTTAATTGCCCGTAATTAAGGGTGCATATAACACAAGAGTGTGTATTATACACGAATAAATAAGTCTTGTATACATGGATCAATCGGAAGGATGCTAATTGGGATTGTTCACTAGCCAATATATTAGCAAATATTGCTGTGGGCGCTTATTAGAGCGGGGCGCTTATTACGTCGAATACGGTAACCTATTCAAAGGAAGTTAAGAACACCCTGTTTCTTTTCATGTGACTATAGTTGATGTGTCTTGGCCAGATTAACTATAGCCACGTGAACAAATTAGGTGTTCATTAACTTCTTTTTTGTAATATATATACAGGCAAATGTTTTTCAGGATACAAATTGATGTTTCATGTTAAGTCATTTTTGTTATTTCTGTGAATCAGTCTGTCAAACATGAAGATATGACATACATCACATACCTACTAAACAACTGGCATAAGTGAATTTGTTCCACCATTCTGGACTGTGGCTGGATTGTTTCCAAGTTGGCAGCTCCCTACTCATGGTTTCATCGAAGGGGTGAAAATCTAAGACTTCATCCCCTCGGGCTTTCCCCACCGCTGTGGTGGGGTAGCCTAGTGGTTAAAACGTTCGCTCGTCACGCCGAAGACACGGGTTTGATTCCCCACATGGGTACAATGTGTGAAGCCCATTTCTAGTGTCCCCTGCCGTGATATTGCTGGAATATTGCTAAAAGAGGAGTAAAACCATACTCACTCACTTAAACACTTTTCTCCCACATTAAGCTGACATAACTGGAACTACAGTTAAAAGCAGAGTTGAACCCAAAACACTCACTCACTTAAATAGATGCAGGGAAATACAACCCCAGATAAGTGTGATTTGCTTGGATCCGTAGGCGTTCCACTTTACTTATCACCATGTGATAGCTGATAATGAGAGGCGATTTATCTTCTGGGGGATCATATTCTGATTTGATGGATGTAGAATTCCAGTAGGCTAGATACATTAACTTGGTTGCAGTCGGTCATTTAGCATTGGACTTTTTCATTGAACTCGGCAGGAAATTGTTGTTTAAATTATGCAGTGATGAATAGCTATTCACTTTTCAAGCCTGCATGGGCGGATCCGGGATTTTGAAAACTAGAGTGCACACAATCCAGGTCACGAAGTCGGCAAATCTCATAGACGGACTAACTGATGGCATGTAGCATCTAAAGGGTGGTGGGCTAGCTGTGTGGTTCATTCGTTCACTTATGGGTTAGATTTTCCACACTGTTACGATGTGTGAAGCTTATTTCTGTATTCCCCCTCGGGGATATTGCTGGGATATTGTTAAAGCGGTGGAAAGCACCATCACTCAGGAGGATGTACAAAGAAGCCTGCCACAGACTGCAGCGTTAAATAGAAACTACTTTATAGTCCACTTATTAAGTCCTTATGATAACATATAGCAAAACCCTAAAAATGGACAATTTCTATTGGTGCTTATGATACCCTTATTTTAAGGAGTTTGGCAAGGACTACAGGACTAGTGCCAATTTGTAAATCTGGACTGGGTCCTAGTCGGGTTTTGTTTACCACTGATGTCACCATACAGGGCAAGACATAATGGTCAACAGTTGGGGTTTGTATTCCTCTTCAAAAAAAGTTAAGTTTTTGAGAAAAAAATAAATGAACAAAACCATTTGAGGAATGTTTGGAAATGACCTATTGCACTTGTTAGATGGAGTTACCAATTGAGACTATGATGATGGCTTGTGTATAATGGCCATTAGAGCTCCCAGTAGAATTGGAGATACTTATAAACACAGGGGACAGTATTTCATTACTTTTAGACGAAACATATTTGACTTCTGGTATTTTACAGACTTTGTAGACCTTAATGCCAATAGCATATTTCCAAATATTTTATGGCAGTTCCTCCTGGGTAATATATATTTCGAACATCTGAAATCATTCGCCGAAAGACGGCAAATTTATGGACCAAAATACAGGGATTCGGAAATATTCTTTGGCCAATCGGCCATTTGCATTGTATATTTCTTTCATCCGGCAGAATTCCCGACATGGGTACAATGTGTGAAGCCCATTTCTGGTGTCCCCCACCGTGATATTGCTGGAATATTGCTAAAAGCGGCGTAAAACCATACTCGCTCACTCATCCGGCAGATTGTCACAGCTACAGATAAGCTGCGTATTTGCATGCAATACCCCCCCAAAATATTTAAAACCTAATTTCTTTCAATTAACTTGTGTACAGAAACGCATGCATTAAATGAAAAACACAAATTATTAAAACAGCACTCGTAAATACCCCATGAAGTTTTTCAGCATGTTAACAAAGGAGCTAATTTACTTTCTGAGTCAGACCTATATATTTAGAACAGTTATATACATGTAAAACATTATTTAATTTTTTTAAATGAGTGAAAAAAATATTGGTTAACCCAATGAATAGTGTGATAACCCAATTAAAATAGAAACCCTAGAGTAAAAACACAATTTCTCAAAAAGTACTGGAGGTCTGGATTATATATTGTATGCACATACATTTAAATGTTTGTGGAGAGAGACAGAGAGAGATTCTATGTATCGATTTTTGTCATGTATTTTGAAATGTTAAGGGGGCGGTCGGGTAGCCTAGTGGTTAAAGCATTCGCATGCCGCGCCCAAGACCCGGGTTCGATTCCCGACATGGGTACAATGTGTGAAGCCCATTTCTGGTGTCCCCCGCCGTGATATTGCTGGAATATTGCTAAAAGCGGCATAAAACCATACTCACTCACTGAAATGTTAAGGTGAAACATTTACGTATCACGTACTGAGTTTCAAGAAGTCAACGCAACCACTGAGGTATATCTGTGTTGTAAGTTAACATCTGTGTGCCGGGCCTGCATGTGTGCTGTGAGACCCGTCTCGTCTGGTGCAGCTGCTGGCAACAGGTGTTTACAGATGCTCGTTTGAATTCTGGTGCACTTGTGTTGCTGTGTGCATCTGCCTCCCACAGAGCTATGCACATCAATAGTGTGTCAGTGATGGTATCGGTGTGTTTAGTCATGTCTTTAGGAAAACGGCTTTGTGTCTTTGTGTGCTCATTGACAAAAGAAACGCGAATGCCGTTCATGTTCTTCCTCGGATCCGCGAATTTTAGTGACCACAAATTTGTTAAAAATCTTATGGCTTCCGCCATAAACACCCCCAAATTATGGACCAAGCTCCATTGCAAAGATGTTTCAGGTGAAAAGGAAAACATCCAATCTCAGCCCTGCAAGTTGGTTAATATATGAAGAATTATTCATATTCAGGAGATATTAGATTGGTTCGATGCACAAATAAACATGCTAGTATGTTATGTGAACCGATGCTCATGAACGCATTACATGTGACGTCATAGATCCATGACTCGAGATGCACCATTTGTCTCGTGCAGGATTAGCATGTAAATTTTGAAAATAATGTGCAACATATTGTGATAGGATTGGTTGGTTGGTTTGTTGTTTTACGCTGCACTCAGCAATATTCCAGCAATATTGGTACACACTGGAAACATCTCTTCTTAACGTACATACTTCTCTATATGTTTCAATGGTTCGCGTTTCTTTTGGCAGTGAGTATATATGTGATGATGCTGAATTGATGACCATAGTTTTGCTGTGTTGTCACCAAGGAAACTCAAACAGCAACAGTTATTCTAACGGGCAGGCCAAGATGTAGTCTTCCTCCCAGCCCCTAAACCACATTATTTCCCCTTCAACCCAGCCCTTTGTGGTGGACCCGTGGTGGCTTTCCTCCCACATTAAGCTGACATGCTGTGATATAACTGGAATACTGTTAAAAGCGGCGTTAAACCCAACTCACTAACTCACTCACTCACTTACATAATCTAGAAGTTATTTAATCTAATAATTATTGCCTTAGAGACTTGTACAAGTCTAATCAGATTCCTGCTCTTGTCAAATCCACTTGTAAACTTTGCCAGCAATAAGCCTTCCTTTAGATCTAGTGAAGCAGGGTAATGGATGCCAGCCTGGTTGTAACATGTCATATACAAACTGCCCCTTCGGACATAACCATACCTACAAACTGAAGACATGGTCAAGTGTTGTTTTCACAAGTGTCATATTATTCTCACATATACAACATGAGTTTTAGTGGTATTTTAAGCCATGAGCCCAATTGATAATTCTGGCATCACTGTTGAAATATTCCAGGATGAGACAGCCACTAGTCTGTTCGTTCC